AAAATCTGCCCGTGACATGTAATTTCTGTTGGCAAAGCAACCGGGCATTACGTGGAACCTCCTGTTCCAAAAGTTACCACAACTTCTAACTGACAACTTCCGATATTTTGTACGCTGGTGATGGAAGATCTCGACATGCATAGCAATTTAACATTTGAGTTAGCTGTATATAGTTTATGCATATACAAGTATTGAATCGTGTTGAAAAAAAAATAAAAAATCTACGGTGAGGCAAAGGTTTTTGCCAGGATTAATCACTGCCCTCGAGGAGGTGATGACAGCGAGACAACAACAAGGAAAATAAAAACTCCTCAATGCAAGAAACAACCTGTTGGTCTGTTTGTGGTGCATTAAACTGACTGAGAATGTTAGTTTTATTCAAAGACTTGGGAGATCTGAGCTTTGCCTTTTGACACTGTTCTCATTTTGTCAGAAACAGAGGAGTGTTTACACACTTGCAAGGTGCATTCAGTTTGTTCGTTGAACTGGATAAATTGAAAGGATGCCGAATGCCTCCTTGCATTTTTAGCAGTTTTTTGGCAGTCTCAGGTTACTCCTTCGGTTTATCACTTTGCTAACAACACATCAGCCTCCAGCTTCCCATTTACAAGCTCTTCCTAATCTTAAATCCCAGTTCAGCCCCCGAGAACCCCACTTAGATGTAAACGTTCATCACTTTAGATCTAAAAAAAAAGGTTTAGAAAAGAGGCCGTGCTCTTTGTAATCAGGGTAAGGAGGACATGGGAGAGTCATGCAGAAACAAGCAGCTCCTGTTTCTTCTCATTGAATTCTTTATCAGAACTGGAGAACATGCTGTTTTAGCACAGTGTGTAAGAACAGAATGGGTTGGTTGTACAAATACAAACACTGTCCTGCGGTTTGCCTGACAGTGCTGAGAGGAGGATGAGGCGGTGCAGCAGCTCCGAATCACAGTGCCTCCGGTGTTTAGAGGGGGAAACTGCAGGAAAATGTGACAGCTGATGGAAGTCATTTGTAACTCTGATTCCTGCATCTCTGTTTCAGTGGTGACCGGAGCGTCAGAAGGTGTAGGAAGAGCGTACGCATTTGCAGTAAGTGACGTGTTTCAATAGCACTGCTTGTGTTTGCATGCAGGACAAACCATGCTGTACATTTTCAAAATCAGAACACTTGTTACAAATTACAGCTTTCTATGTGTTTAGATACTATGATGTTATTTTGAGATCTGAGCAACGAGGATTGAAGTTCTTTCCTGCCCAGTTCATTATGCGTTTATGGCGTTATTGTACAATCTGCTATGTCTTTTTCTATCCACTGCTACACTTTTTGCTCCTCAGCTGGCTGAGCAAGGAATGAACGTTGTCATCATGAGCAGAACCAAAGCAACACTGGATCAGGTGGCCAAGGAAATAGGTATAAACTTGCATGTTTAACTGACTCAGACATTTACAGATGAACTGTTTGTCATCTGTGAGAATATACATTTCATCCTCCCCAGGTGAAACCACAGGGCAGAAGGTCAAAGTGATCGCGACGGACTTCATAAACGAAAACGTCTTCGAGGACATTGAGACTCAGCTTAAGGACCTCAACATTGGAGTTTTAGGTCAGACATTTATCAGTTCATTCCAAGTAATGTCTTGATCATAATTTCCATAGACACCAAACACAGGGGAACATTTAGAATAGTAGTATCAGCAGAGTTTCTTTCCACCTCTGAAGCTGCATCTTTTTCTTCTTCACCCCAGTCAACAACGTAGGCATGCTGCCCAGCTTCATCCCCTGCAAATTCTTGGAGTGTGAGGAGCTTGACAAGGTCAGTGGCACCTCCTTGGGAGGTTTTCCTGCAAAACAAACAAACGTTATCTTCACATTCAGTTTTTTTAATCACGAGAAACACGTCGGGCGTCAGTTCAGCTCCAACACACTTCCTGCATGAGTCCCTTCTTTGCAGAACAACTTTTTGATATTTTGAATCCTGCATTGCGCTCATCCACGCTTGCATGCGATCTGCCTTATCTTTGTTTTCTCCGCCTTTATGAGTGCAAAGCCTGACCTGTTACCACCACCTGTAGATCAGTGGAAAAGTGGAAAACCTCGCGGCAGATTGCAATTTGTATCCCCAATGTGTGTTTTCACAGGCACTGGCATGCCCATGCGCTTGCACAAGTTAAACCTACTGAACAGCTCCGTAGCCCGAGGCCAACAAACCTTCGCTGACTCACCAGCAGATCGTTTCTATTTGCACTGCTCCATTTGTCTAATTAATAAATGAGTTTTATTGGTAGTTTACCATCACATATCACCCAAGTGTTGATCCTCACAGGGTTCTTAACACTAAACCCTCTTTTCTTTTCCATATCAGCGAAGAGATAACACATGAGATCCTGTTTATGTTTGCTTTCAGACAATTACAAAGGTCATAAACTGCAATGTGAAAACCATGGCCAAGGTAAGAGAAACCACTGACATCATAAAGTCTCAGTGACAGGGTACAAAAGAATCCTGCACACCATTTGTTGTTTAGTCCGCTTATAGGCAGCATTTCAGTCAGACGTTCATCAGGTTTGCTTCTTAAATACATTCATTCATGTTGTCTTCATCAAAACGATCTAAACAGGTCTGACAGCGTAGAAGATTCTTTGTTTTCTTCTCGAACAAATTTACTCTGTCAACACTTTTGTTTGTCTTCAATCTGAACCTAATTTAATTTTGTCTCCAGATGTGCAGAATTATCCTCCCAGGCATGGCGAACAGGTTTCCTACCCATGTTTTTTTCATTAGACGTAACGTGTAATGCGATAAAGCAATAACATGCTGAATAAATTGAGTATCAGGCCACAAAAACAAGACCACAACTGGATTGTCTGTCTTTTTTTTTTTGCCTCTACAGGGGAAAAGGGTTGATTGTGAATATTTCATCTGGAATCGCCTCGATTCCGTTCCCTCTGTACACCCTGTACTCTGCATCAAAGGTGAGTTCGGCATCATCACTTCACTTCTCGTCCTTCTCTGTTGAATGATCGCTCGTACTTTAATCTGTGTTCCTTCAGGTGTTTGTGGAAAGATTTTCTCAGTGTTTGCAAGCTGAATACAAAGACAAAGGGATCATTATACAGGTACTTTGATTCTCATCCCACCTTTTTCTTAATCACAGGTGGAGTGAATGACATGTTAAAGAATAAAAGCTTTTATTCTTCACATCTTACCACAGCTTTCTTCTTCTCCCCTTTTTCCTGTTTTCTCAGGCAGTGGCTCCGTTCGGGATCTCCACTCGGATGGCAGGTTACCAACCGACTAACACAGTGACTCTGTCGCCGAAAGAATTCGTAAAGAGCTCCCTGCAGTACCTCCGAGCTGGAGACAAAACAAATGGCAGCGTCTGTCACACCCTCCTGGTAAGTCCTACAGGCACAAACGTATGATAATGACAGAAAAAAAAGCCAATTAACACAACAAGAGACTGACTTGGGGTTGTGGATGTGTTTGTGTGTGGATGCAGGGCTGGTTCCTGCTGACTATTCCCCTACAGGTTATCTATTCCGAGTGCTTGCAAAGCAGCCTGCAAGACTATATCCAGAAGAAAACGGCAAATATGGCATCAATCTCTGCATCAAGAGCAACTTCTGAGAACCTTGAAAATAAATAGGGGGGGGGGGGAAACAAAAGTAACGTGAAGACATTTGATTCTAACATTCCCCGACTGTAAACAAAATTGTAATTATGGAGCTGATAAATGTGACGACTTGTTAAGTTCTGTTGTGATCATGTACAGTGTGTATATGTGTTGTTATGTGTGCAGAGGTAGGCTACGGTCTGGTTGCAGCTTTTGGAACATTCTGGGTAAACTACCTTCAGGAAAGCACATTTATAAATTATATTCTTTCATTTTCTGTTCTTGATTTTTACAGGGAGTGATACCTCTGTGATTTTTAAATTGACTGTAGGCGTGAGTGTGAGTGTTGTCTGTTTGTATCTGCGATGAACTGGCAGCCTGTCCGGAGGGTTTCCAACATGAGCTGGGACTCCGGCTCACAGCGACCCTCTACAGGATAAAGCGGGTATAGCTAATGGATGGAATGGATGGTTGGATGTCTGTTTTTTTTATCTTATTAAAAAACATGTTCAACAATCATGGCTCAGTCTTTATCCTCTGTTTTATTCCAAATATACTTTAGTGACATTCACACAAGCAACTGGACACAGTTAAGTGCAATTTTCTCTTAATCCAGAGGTTCAACTTCTCCATAAGATGTGACATTGTGTACATTCCTTCATAGTTCCCTGATTATATTTTTATTCAAAATAAGTAGGAAATGTAAGCCATTGTGCTGCTTTCCTTCCAAAAGAAAATTTGTAGCAGAAGTCCAATCATGTCTTGATATTTCATCGACCCCATTGCACAGATAAATAAATAAAGCCTCTATCCAAACCTACATGCTTGTCTCCCAGTGCATCTCTGAGGCATCAAATGCCGTAAAACAGTTTATGTTCAGATGTCCTTCACATTAACATCACATCCTTGGACTCAATATAAGCACTGATACTACTGATAAGTGCATGTTTGTGGGCCTAGCTCCTCATAATCATAAATTCTGATGAGTAACACTGAGTTTGGCTTCTTCTCTGCTAAACTGAAGGAACCGTCCCGTTGTGTTATTTCACCTTCACACACACATACTTTTAAATGTCAGCAGCAGCATCCTCCGTTCTCTGCTTAGATGGAAGAAACATTTGACCACGTGAACGCACCACCAGACCACGCCGGTGTCAGTCACCGTTCGGATCCACGCATGCGGTTGGGGACTGATGAGCTTCTACCTGTTTCCTGAGAAATGGGCTCCCCGCTGGAGGCCCGTGGTTGATAGCCTGCTGCAAACAGGATGATGAACGGTGTTTAAAGGAGACACAAACATTCCCTCATCGGTGCATGTACATATGCAGAAGCAGACGGGCGTTTGAATTAGTATGTGCTGCGGAGACGTCTGACCTAGAGGAGTCACTAATCACAGGGTGACCGGGCTGTTTAGACAACCGTGATGGATGATCCTCCCCATGAGAGATAGTGCAGGGGGATAGGAAAAGAGCAAGGGAAGGACGGTCAGAGTGACCCTGAGTTTAGACGATCTGGTCCGACTGCTTGAAAAAGACAAATAAGAACTCCACCGCAAACAAGAATAGTCTTTATTTATCCCTGTTAATACGTCTTGAGACATTTACAACCCTTTTTAGAACAACTGATGACAATTAAACAAGGAGAGAAGAATCACAGACAAGAAATGAGGTGAATTACCTAAAAAACGGCCAAAAGAAGTTAAAACATTGTCACGTAAAAGCAAATCTATGATGATATTGTAAGTTTAATAAGTTATTTAAAACACATTTTTAATTTAATCAGCTTCCAGAGCTCAGATTAATTGAAATATGTGTTTTGTACAATAATGTATTTATGAATTCTTTATGTTTCGGAGGTCTCAGTCTTTGAAATACTTAAAGACATTGCGATATGTTAAGTATGACCTTTACTCTGTAATATTTAGGTGATCAAAACTTAAGCATTTATCACTGAAGAGCATCTTATATCTAGACAATGACATGAACAGATGCATTGCTGTGGTGTGTCTGTATTTACCAACATGGTAAAAAGAAATGACTAAATTATTCAATCCACATACGCCGTACAAATGCTCAAATGGTGCGATTTGTATGTCTTTTTCAAGTTGAATGCACACAAGCTAGCTTTTTAGGAAAATTAGAAGCAAAATTAAATTAGCGGATACAATCGTTTTCAATATTGCTATGAGCAGAAATCAATTATGACATTCACGAATCAGAACTGGACCAACATCCTCCAGGATTCATCAGGAACAACATCGCTTTAGTGGTTTACAAATCAGCAAACTGACAGGAAATATCCTTGACATAAGGTGACTTTCTGCTACTTTTTGTTATTACGACAATATTGTCTAAAGGTGGACCAGCTGTGCATCAGTGAGGACGCCTGATGCAAAATGGTGACATCCAAAATCCATTCGTTGTATAAAATGTAAGACTATAAGTAAACTTTTCTGATGTTTCCAGTAAATAAACTTTGAAATAAGCAAGTCTCAGAGGGCTTTGCAATCTGAACAACTCACAGGAAAACCTACATCATTTTTATATAAATCACCTAAACTCAAGGTTTATAGTAATATTAAATTATTACTTATTGGAGTTAATTTTGTCAAAATGCTGTGATCATGGTAACATTCAATTTGGCCACTAGAGGGCACGAAAAGTAAAGATTTCACGCTGCATTCAGTCGATTGTAAAACAGAATCTGCAGCAGCCTCAGCACAACACATGTTTGATTTAAACTGATGAATAGTCAGGATGTTGATGATTTCAGTCTGCGTCTGATCAAAAAAACCAAAAGGATATATACAACTGCAAAAATAAGGTAAAAGTAGAAAAAAAAATGTCAGATTTTTTTTGGAGCTAAAGTTTAATTTAATGTAATGACACAGCTCTCCACCTCTGGGAATTTCCAGGAGGTCTGTTATCTGTAATGTTCGTACGGTTGCGTCTCCTTCAAAAGCCGCAGCCTGAGCAGACGGTGTCACCTCCAGAAGAAATCAAAAGTTGTTTACCTGACTTGCTCAAGAGCAGGGACTTTCCTTACCTGGGGTGATGTGCAATTTACGGGTGCCAACACATTTATAACACCTTTTAATCTACCGTTTCAAAGCCTCACTTCAACATCAAGTGAGGTCCTCAGAGTTGACAAGTCAGTATTACTGCTCCCATAATAGCAGGTTATTCAAGGTAGTTCACTTCCTATCGCGGGCCATCGGTGTGGGAGAGCTGTTCTTCTGCATGTGCAGAATAATGGCTTTACCATCAATGGGATCATATTTTAGTACAAATATGAAGTAAAAGCAGCTTCAGCATGTCTAAAGCCTCTACCAGATGAGAGATTCATTAGAGAAGGGGTCAATTGAAAGTCATTGTTTTCATTTCAGCGGATGACCGTGGCTTGCATGGGTGGTCAGGGCTCCAAGGACGCCTTCTCCGTGCAGATTGCGTGTGAACGTCGGCGTCTGCGTGTTTCGCAGAAAGAAAAAGGAGAGAGAGAGAGAGAGGTGCTGCCTTTGAGGATGCTCCTTGTGTGACTCCTCTCTCCTCCCTGGACACTGCTTGCTTGTTGTTTCAGTAAACAGAAGGGTCCGCAGATGATCCAAGACAAGCACATAGCCACTGCAGCCCACCCAGGAGCCAAGGTCAGGACCGCTAACCTTCAGACACATGCACGCACTTATTCACTAAACCTGCCTCACAAAGAGAAGAAAAAAGAAATATTCCAGGTCGACCCCGGAGTTTTAGTTGGAACTCTTTCACCTTTAAAAAAATCCAATTCATTCTAACAAGGTTAAATCAGGAAACTGCTAATAAAAGTCTTGGAATACTGCTTATTGGAAAACCCTGATAACCAGCTACATAGACTTTGTATTTTACTCCATATTTCCTTCTCTCTGAATGTTTCCATTTTGTGAATGTGCTGCGCTTGTCAGTGTGACACACCAGTATAAATATTTGAATATTTACACAAGCTGAAATATTTCTGTGACATAATTACCACTTTGTCTCTCAAACTTCTCCGCTCCGAGCGCCGCGGACGTTCATTCTCGCGCAAGACTTCTAGGGGTAATTATTTCTCGCAGCAGTAATAATAACCGCCACTTCTCTCCCATCCAGGACCGGGGGTCTTTGAAACTCAAGAAGATAATTCCAACCCTTCATCTTTTCCAAAAGAGCAGGCTGTCAGGGATGGGCTTGGACTGTCAGCGAGGGAAAGCAAACAAGACGAGGGGAATAGGGGCAAAAAAAAAAAAAAAAAAAGGAGGTATGGGGAATGAGGAATGGTAAAGAATGGGAGATGGATGGATGGACGGATCGGAGAAGGAAAAAGAAAAAGGCCAGTGACTTCTCCGATGGCCCAGTGCTCACATATGGCTAGGCTTTGCTTGTATAGCCTCACTTCAAGGCGAAGGGCCCTGCAAACATAAATAGTGGAGAGGCTGCAGCTGGAGCAGGGAGGCAGCCGCTTGCTTACTGAGACCTCTCTACACTAAACAATGGATCAAGTGACGCACAGGCCTTTGGCAGTGCAACAGAGACCCAGGCGGCTCAGAAAAAGCCTTTCTTCCGTACGTTTATATCTCTACTCTCTCAATATTTACCCCATGGGAAAACACACAATTTTCCATTCCTTTCATTGTGAAAGGAGCAAAAAAAAAAAAAAAGGAGTAGACCTCCCTCCATCGCTGTTTCATCCACCTTCAGAACAGGACGGGGTCAGAAAGGGCAAGTGTCTGAGCAAAATTTAAAAAGAAGGTACAACCATTTCTGCAAAATCCCATCACTGCTCCACACAGGTGCTCAGAGTGAAGAGGTTTAAGCTGAGTTTTTATTTTTTTGTGCACCAAACCTCCTCTCATTGATATTCACACACACGGGTCTATTTCCAGCCGTGTTGAGGAGAAGCAAACAAAATGAGGATTAGTCTCTCTTACTGCGTGAGTCACTGCATTAGAAACTTAGTTTGTACAAGTGTGTGTGCATGTGTGTGCATCTGTGTTATATCTCTTTTATGATGGGGCACAATGGGGAACGGAAGGGCCCAGGAGCCAGTGAATTAACCCAAATTACAGCTAACAGTTGCCTGGGTAACTGGATAGGAATGAGGGGCAAATGGTGTGTAATTTCCTAATGAAGGGGAGGTGGAGGAGGAGGAGGGGGGGGGGGGGGTGAGTTCTTCTTTTTCACATTTAGAGACCTCCTCTGCCTGTTACCGTAACAACAGGAGGACTCCTCTGTGTAGTTATTCGCTTGCTGAGTCACCTAAAAGTTTTTTTAATATAGGCCTTAGATACAAACTATTTGTCCTGTTCCCACATAAACACCTACGATGGTCAAGTTTCTTTTACAAGTTTTCTAGTGAATTACATCATTACACTTTTTCCTTCTACATTATATAATGAGGTACAGTACTGCAGATGCCCTGAGGAGGATTACACTGATGATAAATTTGAGCCTTAGAAGCCCCGACGAGCTATAATCTCAATTAGCATGTTAGCATGAGTGATCGAAATCAGATCAGTTTTTGTGATTTCTTGAGGTTTTTGCATTTGTTTTAAAAGTGCCAGGGGTTCATTTAGAAAGACCTCGGAACAACATCAAAATAAGGATTTGATGAAAGTTGAGGTGTTTGCTCACTGCTCCAATAGGATCAAACCACAGTTTTTGAAGCATTAAGTAGCACTTGTGACCAAATTTGGGAGTGATATGGAATATGTGTACACTGCAGAGGGATTTAAATCAAATTATTCAGATGTATTCGAATGTCGGTGTTGCTGAGCCTCCACACACACTAACCTCACCTCTGTTGTTAAGTCAGGAAGCAGAGAACAAGAAGGAAATAAATTTGATCCAATCCTAATTGATGCATGCGAGGTGTCAGAAAAGTTCCAGGACTGGCGTCACAAAAGATATGTCAAACCCAAACTACAACCTTTCAGACCATCAACCAGCACGTCTACAAAGAGATCCTGCGGCGTTTGTTTCGTTCACAAGAGGCCAGAGTTGAAGCAGGACAAGTCATTGCTGCTCACAACGCCCTGAGCATCCCACAGTTCCTGGCTGAGAAGAACATCTCCGTGCTGGAGCAGCGTCCCTACTCACCCCACCTGGCTCTGTGGGATTGTTTCTTCTTCCCCAAGCTCAAGGAGGTCGTCAAGGGGACCCGTTTTGAAGACGTGGACGACATCAAGATGGCTGTGATGATGGAGCTGTGGAGGATCCCAGAAGAATCCTTCCAGGAGTGCATGGCGGCGTGAAGAGAAGGCTGGGAAAGTGACTCCAGGGGATTACTTTGAAGGGGGAAAAATTGTAGTTTGGATTTGAAATATATCTTTTATGACACCAGTCCTGAAACTTTTCTGACACACCCTCGTAGATATATAATCCCAGATCTTCAGAATATTGCAATGTTTCACAGGAAAAAATAGGATTTTGCTGTAAAAGAAAAATAAAAAAAACTCAAAAAACAAAGAGATAATTTTAAAAATTAACACTAAGGTACAGCACAAAGAACTAGGATCAAACTAGGAAAGGGTTTTATTACACTGTGTCTTTTGGAAATCACGCATAAAGATGTTAAGTGTGTGTTTGTTTAATCAGCCAAAGATCTTCAATATATATTTAAATACTTTGTGAATTTTCAGGGACTTCATTTTATACATTTTGTGCATGAGCTAGTTCCTCATCAGAGACAGTTTGCAGACCTTCCTCACACGCAGCACGAGTGGATGTATGGAAACTCGAGCCAAAAATGACTGGAGGCTCGGGTCAGCGCGGGTCAACACTCATTCACAGCTTTTTACAAATCAAATCAAACTAGGTGTCACAGTCTGACCTCTGCAAATAAACCTACGGGTCCACAGCCGACTGGTGAGCGTACAGCAGGCTCACAGACACCCAGGTAATAGTTACAGGAAATATAAACACGACTTCTCACCCCGCTCCCCTTGACGTGAGGAGACGAGGAACTAATGGGCGAACTGGAAAAACACATCATCTCGTCAGTGGCGTTTCTTGTCGGTTTACATGGCGTGTAATAAAATAAAATGCAATCATCACGCTGACTTGGCACATTGTCATTTATCACATCTGTGCATCTCACTCCAGCTCCTTGGTAGAATCTTGCAGTTAGCGTTTAGGATAAGAGAGCTTTGTTTGTCACTGGGCCATGCGAGCCAGCCTCCATTAGTTTCTAAACACTGCCAGTAAGACGGCGAGCCTTTCGATTGTCAGTGAAATGCTAAGCCTCTCCGCTATCTCAATTGAACCAGACTATGACTGCAAGAAAAAAAGAGACAGATACGGATCTGCGAATCTCAGACGTGGATGAACCAGACGGAGAGGAAAGAGGTTTTGGAGGAGAAAGGGGCTTTTCATTCTCCTGTCTATGACTTGAACAGGTGTGACAGATGTGTGGCCTCAGTATATATGCGAGCACAGTCATAATCTACCACCCAGAAGCACACACACACCCACACACACACACACACACATATTCACCGACCTGCACGTCCTGTTGAGGCACGCACTCCTTTCTTTCTCGTGTTTATCGATAGCTATCAGCACTTTCTCATTTTTTGCTAACAACACTTGCACAGAGCAGCTTTTTTTTCTCTATTTACTTCAGTGCAACAGCTGAAAGAGGTCAAACACAGCTGCGGGTTTTCGGCACATGCGCTCACAAACACAATTTTAAAAAAAGGCCTTATTTTGCTTTCACATTACAGCAAAGCCACGAATCTTTGAAATCGTGACAATAACTACGGCGGGACGGCAGAATTTCGAAAACACACGAGAGGACGGCGGTTGGAAGGGTGTGAATGCTCGCCGCCGTCCCTCCTCTCCCAGCTCCACTGAGTCTTTAACTGCTTATTGTTATTTCGCTAATAGCACAGCAGCTCCCACTCTGAGCAGCCTTTGAGGCACGACTGAGAAGAGCCACAGGCCGCTCAGATTACAGCGCTGGAGGTGGGGGGGAACCATGGCGTGGACACTACATGCACACTCTCTCAGGGAGTGGGAGGCGGCGAGGGGGTGCCGAGTGACAGAGACATAACAGCCATTAAGGAGTTTTAAGTGATATCTCTGCAGGGCCACCAAGAGTTCTGGGGTGGCTGCTGCGGTATTGAATAACGATAATGGCTAACACCTACAGCGGCTTGGTTTCCTCTGTCAAGTCAGCCATTTAGCATCATAGGGAGCAACAGTTTGAGCTTTTAAACCGGACGTCTGCTACATACGTGGAGCGTGAGCTAATCTGTAATATAGAACGGCCTGTGTGATGGCAAATGACGGAGCTCCACCAGGGGTTTAAAAAGGGTAAAAATTTCCATATATCACACACATGTTCACATTTCCAGAGTGGCTAACACCCTGTTTATTTAATTAACAATCAACATTCTGTCAGTAACTCACTTAATCAGTGCACGTTAATAAAAAAAAAAGTATAAATGGAAATTTAAATAATCAAACAAAAGACGAGTAAATTAGAGGTAGGAAAACTTGGGCTAAATATTTAGCTTTTAAAAAAATAAATCCTTTAAAACTTAACTAAAAATTTAAAACAGCTGAAATAAAAAAATGTCTCTTCTGTATTATTTTTTCCACAGGAACTTCTCGTTAGTTTTCCAGAGACTCCTACTCTCTTTCTGTCCAAACCTACTTCTAGCGGCTAAGTTAGTGTTTACGCAAACTCTCTGTACTTCGTCCGGGTCCGTTAGTCTGTTGATGCTCTCCTCGTTGCCCTCGTTCAGGATGTCCCAGAAGTCTTTGCGGCCACCCTTCGACGCCTGCGCTGGTGTCCTGACCTTGTGCGCGGTTTGTGAGCTTGAATCAGGAATGTTTCTGGATGACGAAGGTGCGGCGAAACTTGTGTCGGCTGATGGCGCCGGTGTGGGGGGTGGTTTTGGGGCGTTTCTCTGTTGCGCGCTCTTGGATTTGGGTTTTAACAAGTCGTCAAGGATGGAGGTGTCTCCTATCAGATCTGTTAGGAAGGAGCGATTACTGGAGGTGGACGGGGCTGGAGAATTTTCTCTCTGCCCTTGTAAAGTTTCATTTATGCTCGAAGATAATTTCGGCTCCCGCTCCCTTCCTGGTGCTGCGGGTTTGGACACCATGGTGGACCTGCCATGGCTGAGGTCCGAAGAAGAAGGGGTATGTCTGTCTGTGTGGTTCAGGAAAGCAGCAGCAGCAGCCTCCCCAGACCCCAGACCACTGCTGCTGGCCTGATCCACGCCAAGACCACCACCAGCTCTGTAGACTCCAGAACTGGAAACACTACCCCTCTTTGTCCTCTTGTGTCCTCTGGCACTGCAGACCGTCTCCTCCTGCTCCTCTGACTCAGGACTTGGAACATCACTTAGAGGTTCTAGCACATTCTTTTCTGAGATCTTTCGCCTTTTGGGGGGTTCTCGAACATCCTCTCGCCGGATTCCAGACCTCTTCAGTGGCACAGAAACGTCGGCTCGGGAAGCTTCGGGGTTAGTTTTGGGTTCCGGAATCTCCCGAGTGTGTTTTGCAATTTTTGTGGCTTTTGGAACATCCTTTTTAGGGGTTCTGGTCCCGGAACGGCATTTTGTGGCACTTGTTTTTGTGGACGGTGAAGAGGTGGTGGATGAAAAGCAGGAGGTTTTTGCTGAAGCAGGTTGTGGGAAGTTGTCTGAGACTGTACTGGCCAGATCGGGGTGGTTCAGTGAAGTGTAATACTGCTGCAGCCAGGCCACTCTCTGGGTCGAGTCCCTGCTCAGAATCTCAACTGCAAACTGACGGACTGAGGGAAATTTGAACTTTTCTGCCATTTCCTCCAGCTGCTGCCTACGTGAAAAAAAAAAGACAGAAAAGAGTGTGAAAAAACATCCACCACATCCAATTAGAGCACAACCCATATTCACACATGCACATTAAGCACAAAGCCAGAATTTGGCACCGGTGAGCGTGCTGCAAGGTACTTTAAATCACACGTAAAACAACGTCTTTAAAAAAGCCACAAGGCCTATACTAATAATCAGATATTCTGCGGGCCTGTCAGGCCTAAACCTAAGATGAATAGTTCTCCACATATTCAGGCTCATATCCAGACAGCAATGCAGTATGAGGTGTTTTTCCTGAGCTCCTAGGCAGTCATTAAAACGTTGGTCTGACCAGACGCGGGGACAGAAATACTTCAAAGTCACTGGTGGTACGGCAGCATTATGGCGGCGTTATTACCATTTGTGGCTTTCGCTGGAAAAACAATAAATAAAAGTAAGGGCAGTAAAAACCTGACGCGTATGTGGACTTAAATCATTACATAGCGAGGTTAATTGAGGCGATATCAATATAACTAGTGTGTGTTTTCACTCCCCGGTGAGCCTCTGGGCAGAGATACAGTCTTCCCCTTTGGGAGTGAGGCTGGAGCCACAGAGGTGTCTGTGTGTTTGTGTACGAGTGTTTGGGAAGGCAGGGGGTTGGAGGGGATGCAGCAGGACAGAGTTGTGTGTTTGAGTGTTATGTGTCTGTACGCGCGCCTGTGTGTGTGTGTGTCTGTGTGTGTAAATGCTTGTTAGGATGTGTGTGCATCAGTGTGGGTTTGGAAGTCCTAAGGCGATCATTTTTGGTTCGTCCCAGGAGGGCTGCGGTTGTTAAGGGGAAAACTCCTGCACTGTTGGGCTCGATCATAACTGGGTAATCTTTGGCACGATGCTGGGAAATCGGTGGAAGGGAAAGCTCCGAGGTGGTCTCTCGCTAAATGCGCACACACGCACGCACAAACACAATTACTGTGGCCCAGGTGGGGGCGCTCAACGCTGTACCCGCGGTGGTTTTTGGCCTACTTCCCGACGCTGCCAGGAATTCCTCTCCTCTTTCCTTCCATCCCCATTACTCCACTTTTTCGACACCAATTCCTCCTTTCATTGACTTTACTGCTTTTATCCGACCCAAACATCTTTCGTCTTTTGTGGCAGGTTCCCTTATCTCGACTCATTTTTCCTTTGCTATGTCTACCATCGTATCTAAACGACCCTCCTTTACTTTCCCTTTTTTTTCCTCATGGCAAATCTGTTCATGTCATCTTCTTTGACGTACTCCTTCCTTATTTCTTCCCCTCTGCTTGTTTTCTTTCAACACAATTACAGTCGCCATCTTTTCCCCTTTACCTAACGTCCTCCGACACCCTTTTCAATACCTGCGTATGGCTTTGGGAGTCTCTCCGATGATGAAGGTGGTGTGTCTGGTGTGGTGCACACTCTTTCTGGTAAAGGTGACTTCATGTTCCACGCTGGGCTCCTGCACCGTGGGAGTGGCAGGGCAGGGCTCACTGTCTGGGAAGCTCTCTGACAGACTCTGGTAAAATTAAACAAGGGTAAAGTTTTAACTCTTTGCCAGCTCACTATCTTTGGCTCAGACCCTAGCAGAGGTTACTGCAATGAAGCTAGCTTTTAGCATGCAACAGCTGCTGTGTTTGGTGAAAACAACCAACCATTATTAGTAACCACTGAGCTATAGTTAGACAACAAATATCCTCTCTGGTGTTGGAGTGAGTAGGTGCATACAGTATTGGCAAACGTAATATGCAGCTGTCAGACATGCTTTGGCATAAAACAGGTCTAAATGTCACTTTTTAATACAAGGTCTATGGATATTTGAGTAATCCCGTCACATTTTCTTAACTGTTAAAATATTCTTGTCAAGTTGTTTGAAAGTAATTTAATTCATCCAATCAAACATGGGATGGCAAGAGGTCCAATTCATCTCCAAATACTGAGAAATCAACAAAATTATCTAACAATTAACATTCCAGTTGACAGACAAAAGCAGCTTTGGCGAATATAACTCTGAATATTATATCTCTGAAGCATCACTTGGTACCTCTTGGGTGCCCAGAAGGTGATTGGCCGGAAGCTGCGAGTACATTTTGCGCTCAAACACGTCTCGTACAGCGGCTCTGCTGATCAGCTCCTCTGCTCTGCTCCCGCCCACCACGCGCTGGTTGGAGTGGGTGTAGAGCACCTCCTGTACGCCGCCTTTAAACAAAAACATCATTAATGTTGACATGAAGTTCAATAAAAAACCCTTCCATATTAATATAAATGTCAGATCTTACCTAGCACACTGTCTATGTTTCCATTCTTGTCTTTAGATGCTGGAGATTTCTCACTTTTCAGACTTGTAAATGAAACCTCTTTCCCTGCTTGTGTCTCTGCTGCAGCTCTTTGCCCATGTTTGGGCGGTTTAGCTCTGCATCTTTCTTTCTGTGGAGTTTCACGTTCATCCTCTGAAGATGTGAATGTCTCTATGTTGTCTGAGTATCTTGCCTTGTTCCTTACACTCACACTTTGCTTCTTTTTGCTGCCGTCCAGCTTTCCTTTCCCCCTTTCGCCTCCTCTGTCATGTGTATCTGAAGCGTCTTTCTTTGACCACATCTTTGCCTCTAAGTCCAAATCCTCAGATTCATCCGAGCAACCCTCAAAGTGACGCGTTTTTGGAACGGTAGCTTTGAGGTTATTAGCTTTCTTTTTGTCTGGTGAAGAGTTTTCATCGCTGTCTTCACCAATTGTAATTTTTCCATTGATCCACTGTTTCGGGCCCTGTTTCCCTCTTGCTGCACTATCACCCTCGTTCAAGAGTTTTCTGTCTGAACCGCTGGATGTGTCCCAGGTTTTTGCTCCAAATTTAGGGATACCAGCAGCACCATTGCCTGCATTGGAGCACTTCTGATCCGCAGCATCTCCCTCAAATGAGCTTCCTTCGGCCCCTGAACTGCTGTCCCCGTCTGCTAACTCTGGCTTTTGTTTGACTCTTTCTAGGAGTTTTGAAAAACCATGCTGGAGGAGAGTCATTCGACCAGGACTGGTGGAAGCATTTCCACTCCTGTTGCCATCATCATCTGCACTGGGCTTTGAGGCCTTTCTCTTCAGCCCCTGCTCCTCCTCATCCTCTTCACTCCCACTGCTGAAGTCCAGCACCCCTTCGGGAACCTTTGATGCACCTCTGTTGTCCTTTGTTGGTTCATCATTTGGTAAAGGATCAACTGTAGGCGAAGAACCTCCAGATACCTTAAATTAAACAGTAGAAACAAACAGCTCAAGAAAATTACAGACAGACTGACAAAGAAAGTGGTACATATGATACAAGAACAAGAAATTGATATGGAAGAATGTCAAAGAACAATATATACACTGTATGAGCAATAAAACTGCACCAAAGGGCTACAAACTCCTCACTTTCCTCGCTCATGCCATCTTCAGTGGACCGGCCCATGTGAGACTTCATTGTGTAATACGAAACAGATGTTTTCTAACAATAAATCATCAGAAACATCGGTGTGACACATGCCCTCCATCATGATGTAATATGAACACAACAACAGGGTCAGAACATTTCCCAGAGTTATGTGAATGGGGCTTGAATTGGCCACCAACAGTGATTGTTAATTTCCCCAAATTCGCGAACACGACGACTCTTCCCAGCTTCGGTAAGAGCTTGTGTGCATGCGTGCCTAAAACCCTGGAGCCTCTTTCAGCATGTGTTAAAGCACCCCAGTGTATTCTATATTTTTGTAAGAATCTGAATGGTCTCTCCGGAGCAGCGGCGCTGTAAAAAGGACAGTGTCGTGCAGGCCTGGCTGGGAAAGGAAGATAAGGCGTATCGTTGTGTAAATAAATAGCTGAAAAGTAGAAGGCAGGCTTCAGTGTGGTCTGCTGCTTCCATTAGAACAAGAGAGTAATTATATCCAGCTGTTTCAAATAGCATCAGCAAGAAAGTGAGACAAAGAGAACCTCATCCTTCAGTGTCAGTAAATTACAAAGAATTGAGTGTAAAATATGTCCTGTGAGCCAAGGTCTGTAAGTGGTACTTCACTCAGAATCTACTGCACTTTGTGTTTTTTTTAAGAAGTACTAAATATGCATTGTCTGTACCCTCAGAAGTTTGCTGTAACAAGTTTGTAATTTACACACTGTCAGAACGTTAGCTGTCGTCTACACAAACGAGACGGCGCGGGCTGTCTGACTGACAGATAGGAAGGTATACCCTCTTTCACATGGGAATAAAAGGATGAGGGGGGGCCCGCTTGGGAAAGGAGACGGAGTGAGAGATGGGAAAGATGTGTGCCCTATGTTCTGGGTCTCTGAGAACGGCAGAGCTACTCACGCCAACTCCCTTCGTCTCCTCCTCCTTCTCCTCGCCTCTGTGTGTGCTTGCTGTCATTACGCCGGCCTCCACTCGTCCTTCTCGCTGACAGGAAGAGACGCACATTCATCAAAACACCGACAATTCATTTGACAACATCGACTTGGTGTTGTCATTGTCATCAATAAAAGTATTATTTCAGTCAATTCTACTAACAGACATCCTGCTTATGGCTGAATATTTGAAAATCTTTTGTGCATTTAAACATCACATCTTAATTTCAGAAACCTGTATAAGTGATTAACCTGAATTATCTTCTTTACATGCTAGGTGGAGCACTGTTGCATGCAGATGTCGATTTGTAAATGCTAAAAAACTGCTGGTTTGTGGTAGTAAACACCACAAGGGTTTGCACAAATAGCACACATTAATCAGTAACCAGGACAACTGTATTTATCATGTATGTGAGAATATCAAAAACAAATTTCTCTGAGTTCCATGTAAATCTAAGTTAACTTTTATTATAGGGATTTTCCTGTCTATGTAACCACAATGTATTTTTAGAAGAGCAGCTCAAGTCGGGATATTCAAACAACACTTTGTGCTACATGCCTCTTTACTTCTGACGTCAAACCAAAAACACTTCAATTAACATTCTTGCGACCACACAGTAAGAAAGGGTTAAAATCCCAAGACGAGGAATAACATTCAAGTTTTCTTTTTTGTTTTGCGAGACCCTATTCTGTGGATATGAGTCAGTGGGACGAGGTGAGTCCAGGCAGTACGCCGCAACAGAACACATCATCAATCAGACCGTAAAAGACGTGTTGGCTATCTAACCTCTAGAATCTGGTGAGTGAGGCACGTCCCTTGGGTCTGCAGCCTGAAGAGGTTTTTGATCCCAAACAGTTCCCCCTTATGGACGCCATGCCCCTGCACTGCTTCGAAATACCGCCGGGCGCTCTCCTTGCCAACAACTGAGGACTGCAATTGCTGGAACATAGGAGGGAATGTGTGGAAAAGCAGTTATAAAAAATCTATATAGGGCGCTGAAGTACAGTTTTCTGTTGAAAATAAAATCATCTTGTCTCGTATGTATTTAGGATTTAGCATGATATGGTGCTGCAGTAAGTGACTAACAAAAACAATATTGAATATTTTTGTCATTTCTTGATTTCATTCTTAAATCAAAGACTTGGTGACTAGTTTTCTAACATCACTGTATGTTATCGCTGCATTTTATTAGACCCGTTAGGTTAATAACTCCCTTCTTTATTTACCCCACATAAATTTGTGCAGCAGAAGCCATTTCCGAGGTAGTAAAAGAGATTATCTCTGTATGTTCGTCTTTTATGCTAGTATGTATGTAACAGTTTATAAAATGTTTTCATCTAAGACTTTCGATATCCAGACGAGCGTCCTGCTGAGATCACAGTGACAGCATGGTCATATTTGTCTGGTACCTGTTTGTAAATTTGTCGGAGGTAGATAACCTCTTCTACAGTCCCCAAAGATATCAGCCGAAGAACAGTCACATCCCTGCACTGGCCGATACGATACGCCCTGGGGAGACACAGCAGCACACACAGGCGTCATGCATGTCATTGGCACAAAATGCAGTTTTCAAAATATTGGTATTTCGGCAAGGATAAGCTACAAGTAAAAGCTATTATAAAACATGATATCTGTAGGGGAGAAACGGCAGACGTTGTAGTGTGGCCAACAACCTACCTGTCAATAGCTTGTAGGTCGCTGGCTGGGTTCCAGGTGGGGTCGAACAGCACCACCACATTAGCGCCTACAAAGTTGAGACCGAGACCACCTGCCCTAATGGAAGAGACATTTATTACTACCAGATTTTTAATGAGTTTAAAATAAACAGCTACTGAAAAAAAACACTTATTTCCATTCAGCCCATATTGATGCATCATAATGTTATTCCAAAATCCTACTTATGACCCAATATGTTAGCATGAAACCTCAAAGAAAGCACTACTGGGACAGTCCATCTCAAATCACTAAGGGCCTTTTGCTCAACCATGTCTGATCTGCGTGAAACTTGCATGAAACTTTTTTTTCCTTTTTATCATTAATTATGGATGATTTAAAAAGTACCTGTGAAATTTTAGCTTGAAATACTTTCCAAGATTTGATAAGATTTTTTTAACTTGCCCACTCAAAATCACTTTTGGCGCGTGTTTTCAGGCACTGAAATCTGAAGCTATGTTTTAACGATGATATCTCAGGAACTATTCAAGATAAAAGCCTGAAATGTTCTGTTATTTTTGCACTGCATATCAAATAGTCTCTGGTGATGGGTGACTTGAACATGAAAACAAACGAAGCTGTGACAAAAAGTCCCACCTTTGACCACACATGAACAAAAAAATCATAATGCAGAATATTACAAAACAAAACATACAGTATACTTGATGTGAAACACTTGGTCGAGCAGAAAGTATTCTAACAATGAGATGATTTGAAATGGAAGGACCCTAGATTTACTATTTTCAACTAACAGGGTGGAAACCAGGCAGAGGTTGATGTGAGACGAGCTGTTGAAGTCTTTGACAATCTGGACTCTCTCTTTGGCTTTGGTGGTTCCGTCCAGCCTGCTGAAGTCCAGTCCCTCTGCCATGCAGTAGCTCTCCAGCACATCCAGCAGCTGACAGGTTCAATACACATTAAATCGTATAAGATTAAAAGAAGATTAATCAATTGTGTAAAAATCTCACATTTCCATTATCTAAATCAATTAAGTGAATGCACCGATTGTCAAAGCATGAGACGCTACATAAACAAATCCACAGAGAAGAATATCCACTGGATCGTGTTCGGACTGTATATTTATAGATATTCTTTACGGGTAATGCTGAGGCTCGCCATGTATGAACTCTATCATTGAGAAAAAAAAAAAAAGAAAAACATAGGTCATGAAAATATGACCTCATAGTGGCCATAAATATTATCTCACTGTATCGGATGACAGCAACCATCACACTCTGCCGATTCTAATTATCTTTAATTGCTCTCGCTTCTTTGAAATCCCAAGGCTTACCTATTCATTTTGATAAAATATTATGAGAAAGTCATGTCTCGATTACTATTTTTTCTGTAAACAAGTCATCTCCTCTAACAGCAGGGGTGATTAAGAGGGTGCGTTCAGACCAGCTGCTGTATTCGAGGACCAACTCGATGTGTCTTAAGTGCAAAACTCTAAAACCAACAAACTAACTCTGACGCGATCCGACATCTCTTATAAGCATAACAGCTGCTGTAATGCAACATATAAATTTGAAATCACAGGTGCAAAGTCACTGATATACAAAAAGCAGAAGATCTCCACACAAACACCGCTCTCACCTTGGTCGAGAGTGAAAAAACGAGGACTTTATCTCTCTTTTGCAGATAATACTTGAGCAGCTTCTGCAAAACCTAAAAGAAAAGATCAACATGTTACCGTCTAATAGAACAGCCTGTGAGGAGGCAGGCGACAGAGCCCTTTACGTCTGTGCTGTACCTTCATTTTCCCACTGTACATTGGGTCTGACAAGGCTTCAAATGCTTCGTTTTTGCATCTCTGCACAAAGTCTGGAAACTTCTGGAATACCTTCACACAAACGGCACTCACATACTTCTCCTAGAAGAAACAAACGAGTCATTTTAATGAACCAAATCCAGAAAGCGTTGCGTGAACTTGGAAGCTACGTGATTCTACCTGTTTCTTGCTGGTGCCTGCAGTTGACTGAAGCAGAGCTGCGTGGTTGGCAACCTTCCTCAATATGGCGAGGTAGCTAAAGTACAGATACTTCATTTCAACACCTGCCAAGTTTGCCTGCAGGGGAAGAACAATTTGTATTACTTAAGAGATCCTTCCTTAATGTTTTTAATCACATACAGGGGAGATTTATGCAAAAGAAAATTTCATAAATTCCACTTTGTATCCTCCAAGTATCTCTGCAGCTAGAAAAGACTACAGCTAAAAGGGATTTCGCTTTATTTTGATTTGATGCTTTGCAAACTGATAAACTATATCATAAACATTCCCTGAAACTTTAGAGGGAGTCTGTAGAAAGAGCTTCAACCTATAAAGTCAGTTTTTTCCTCAATAGATTACAAGGCACAGACACATGGGTTTAAAGGGATGAACTAACTTTATAGCAGCAGTTCCTGCGGGTGCGTCCACTTCGGCAGTGACATTTCTCTGAAGCCCTCAGCAGTAACGTCACATCTTCAGTGTCCAGCACTGTCTGATACACAGTCTGCTGAAAGTCTGTCAGAGAGCAATACACCACCTAGGACAAAACACAGCATTATAAACTTTTGTCTCAATATTATGATAACAGCACATTGTCGATGATGAGTTAAGTTTACAGAAAAAAAAGGTCTGACTTAGTTTGACTTCGCCAATCTTACCCTGTCATCTTTCCTGGGCAGCTGTTCTTTGATGAGAGCTTTAGTCCTTCTGAAGAACACATGAGAAATCTTCCTCACCAGGGCTTTGACTGTCTTCCTCCCTGTAGCCAAGGCACGTTTGGTTGCACTGTACTTGTGACCTTGCTCAATGGGGTCTGAAAAATTGTTCTTGAAATGCCCTAAGTTGCCAAGACAACCTGGCACTGCCCTAAAAAAGAACAACGTATAGATATAAACTAACTAAACAGTTTTTAGCAAAAACTTACAAACAGGAAGTGCAGATGTGCTGTGACATAAAAGTCTCTTGACCTACCAGTCCATGACACACCATAGTTCCTCAAGGTTGTTCTGTAAGATGGTGCCAGTGAGACCAATTCTGATCTGATGGAAATATAAGTGTAAAGGTAGCATCAAGAAGTGTGACCCAAACGCAAAGCTAAGCTACTATTATAAGTGTGGGTCATTATGATGGTGCAACAGAGAGGAGGGTGTGCAGGCTTAAATTGTGTTAACAAACAGCATCAGCACTCTCTCTCACAGACTCATTAGTTATACAATAGTAATAGTATTCTGAAATAACAGCATAAACATAAAAGCTCACTGACCTTACATCTCAGTTGCTTCATGGCCTGAGTGATCTGAGAGTTTGGATTTTTTATCTTGTGTGCCTCATCCACAACCACACCAGACCAGTGTATCCTGTAGGAAGAGTAGAAGAACACTTGTTTGCTAAAGTATCAACAGAAAAATACAGCTAAGCGAACAAATGTATGGCATGTTTAAGAAATACATAAAACTGTATAAAGAAAACATGTTCAGCTTGAATGTGCAGAATACGGTTCTTACTTATTAAACTGATCCAGACAGAGGCGAAGAGTCTCATAGGTGGTGAGAGCAATCTCCACACGGCCTTTCTTGATGCGAGCCAGCTCCTCCTCTTTCCTCAGGCCGTGGACCACCACACACTGAAAGTGACCCCACGTGTCCAGTTCATCTTTCCAGTTGTAAAGCACTGACAGTGGGGCCACAATGAGGAACACCTAGATGAGATCACAGAAACACCAAAATGGTGCTGATGAATATCTAATGCATCTATTCATCCATCCATTATCTATACACTGCTTAATCCTCTGTAGACCGCAGGGGGGCTGGAGTCTATCCTAGCCGACTTAGGGTGAAGGCAGGCGACACCCGAGACAGGTCAACAGTCCATCACAGGGCCACACAGAGAGACAAACAACCAAGCACACTCACAGTCACACTTAGGAACAATTTAGACTCTCCAATTAAACTCAGTATGTTTCTGAACTTTGGGAGGAAGGCAGAGAACCTGGTGAGAACCCACACAGGCAGAGGGAGAACAAGCAAACCCCACACAAAAAGACCCCAGGCCAGGAAGTGAACCCAGGACCCTTCTAGCTATGAGGCGACAGTGCTAATGTGTCTTATTTTTCTTGACAAAATACTTCACGAAACAGAGCATGTCTTTATGCAATACCCACTTTGCCGGGATTACTTTGCTTGGAGGGCATCTGGCTCTGCAGAAACTGGGGCCTGTTGTTCTTGACGTCCTCCCATGTGCCTGTTTTGTGCAACACAGCGGCAAGAAAACCAATGACCTAAGAGGCAGAGACAACAAACACAAGACAGTCATGAGAAGTTAGATGAGGAACAAATGCTGGCATTGTAACGATTCTGAAGACAGCTAATATAGTTTGTACCTGCACAGTTTTTCCCAGGCCCATGTCGTCGCCCAGTACACAGCCTCTGGACCGGATATAGTTGTGGTAAATGAACCGGATACCTTCCCTCTGGTAATCCCGCAGGTATCTGTTGATAGTGTAAGGAACTTGGTCCTTGTTAACGTCACTTAGCCGTAGTGGGACCCACAGCCTGGGGTCCGTGACACTGCTGGGAAACATGGGTTTCTCCTGGGTGAAGTGATTCAAACCTGGTTTCACCAGTTTTGAGACAGGTACGGCTTCCTCCTCTTCTTCTTCCTCCTCTTCTGCATCTTGATTCAGGTCAGTGAATATCACCCATGCTGTATCATTATGTTCAGAGGAGGAGGTCAGTCTCTGGACAATGGCTTCTCTCAGGGCGCCATCACTTGGGTTTGGAGCTAGACATCGATCACCTTCACTCCATGTCGCTGTGAAAGGGAGATGATGTTGCATTAATCCACTGCACTTTGAAATACACAGTCCCCTTATCACAGGTATAGAGATAGCATGTTTGATAATGTGTCAAAGAGTTTAACAGTTCATACTTCAGTGGAAATTTGATATTGTAGAGCCACAATCCCCATAAAAGTTTGCAGATCACACGTATGAAAAAAGAAGAAAATCCTTTACATCTATCCACCATTATGCTGTAAATATTAGCCTCTGATTAAATAATCCAATCACAGCTTTCCTCACTGACAGAAAGCTAATCGATATATGGGAAGGAGTTGGGACAGCAAAACATTAGTTAGCTGCTCCAAACTGTTCAAAAACACAGTGAAAAACAGAGTAACAATGAGTAAAAAACATGTTTTACAAACCTTTTTCAGCTGCAGAGGTTGAAGCCATCAGGATCCTCTCTGCTCTGAAGTCTGTGGAGGAAAAGTCCCTGTAGCTTGTTAGCTAGCTTGGCTTGCTAAGCTAACATTTACGACAAAGGAAACCGCTACAGTGGACGGGAAACAGAAACGTATTTATGTAAAGTCATATCGTCCTGAACAATTTGCTCGCACTTTTTTCCTTCGTTTAAGTTAATTTGTGTGTCTAAAAGGCAGAAGCAGACACAGCAGGACCAGCTGATACCCCTCTGCTGCTCCCTCACTGTTTGTGTATTTTCATTACCGGCGCCGCACTTTCGACACATTTCACCGTCCTAAAATAAAATTAAAAAATATATTTTCTGCAAATTAAAAATCACTTTTTAGGCACGATTTTAAACAAAAAAATAATTTCATGTTGGAATAATTTTTTTCTAATGCTTATACCTGTGTTCAACATTGTGTTGAAAGTGCTGCATCCTATCTAAATTGTTTAATAAAAGACAAGAAAACTATTTTAAAATAACTTAAAAAAATCAAAATGTTTGACTAAATCTTGATTAGCAGTCAGTGTGAAATAACAACGACTAACCAGGGCAGTATTAATCCATTCCCTTGATATGCAATTTGCAATAAATAGAAGAAAAACAACTAAATTCTCATTGGTTTACTCTCCAAGGTGCAAAGATTTTAAGGTACTTTAGGCTGGCTGTCTCAGACATCATAGATAATCGCCACAGTTCTTCCATTTTTATTTTGCCCTTGCTCTTTTTTTGTTGCTGAAGATTGCTTTTTGTGACTCTGGCTGTATGTTTTAAGTCATCGTCTCATGCTACAGAATGAATATTGAACCTATCAGATGCCCCATTGCATGCTGGATAAGAATCTAAAGTGTCTTAAAAACTGCACACAACTTTACTGATGTGTCTATTGGCTGGTCGTCTTTGCACAATAAATCAGTGGCCCTGGTTACTCTACACAGCACAGCTTTTAAATTGAGTGTGTGTCTAGTATGTCACTGAGTGTATACATTGCTTCCTTGTAAGGACACAATTTGGCATGTTTGCTGAAAGTAATAAAACATGAAAGATAAATTTATCATTATACACACAACCTAAAAGCAGACCGTTTTAAATAGAATAGAGCGCGGATGCTGCCAGAACACTGACACTCTGAGGAGATTCTCATAAAGGGAACCATCATCATATCAGCCATCAGTTGCTCACCAGCTACAAAAGCACCACACACGTCTGACCTAACACCTGATCCGAGAAAAAGTACAGTAAAATCAAAGCATATCCGTTTGTCTGTCGTCAGGGTTTGACATGATCGTAATCAATAAGCTCACGTTATGGTTGTCTGTTGCTATGCAGAACGGGCTCGTAAACACACAGTAACACTGTTTCAGTTCTCCATCCCCGATTTGACTTTCCCTAAACGCCGGCCTTGGTGCTCCAGATGAGGCACGACTAGCTCCGCTCCTCGCCATGGTACACTGCCATACAAAAATGGAACTTTTTGTTCCTGCTTTCTCAACACTGGGAATTTATAGGGCAGCTGCCGCAGATGTTCTCATAAAGAAAGCCCAAACACTGATGTCAAACGGTTTACATACTGCACTAGATCTCACACACTTGTTCTCTCACTGAACCACAGGGGCCTTCGCTGGCCTCATTTACAATAATACATTACCGCTGAAGCAGATAGAGGTGGGATAAATAGATCATTGGCTGTAGATAAGAAGTTCTCATCAACAGTCATTTTCACAGATGACTAGCTGACTTTGTTGAGTGACTGTGTCAAGTGGGCCGTGATGGGTTTTGGGTTTAAATTCCTGAAGTGAAGTGTTGGTTTTCAAACAAGAGTGCAGCGAAACTGGAGAACGTGTCCCATTTTGTGAAAACTTTTTATTTACGATGTTGGAAAATCCACCACAGAGCGAGAAATGAACCAAAACTGTTTGTATTTGTTGTTGCCAAAATATTCCAGTCCTAAATCTTCAGTCCTTCACACAAAAATCAGCTCTCCCTGCAGAAAAATGCACAATTGACTGTTATTAAATACAGCAAAATGAGCATTAATTTAGCATTTATTCTGGGGAAAAAACAGATCCTTTACACATATAAAAGTTGTGACTCTACAGGGAGATTTTTGGATGAATGCACAAATATGAAAGTAGAATACTAGTGTTGTACTTAGCTTTCATCAGATTGTGTTTGTAGCTTTGCTTTTTAGTGGCTCTATCAGAGTAAAGAATGCAGTGTTTAATTCTGTGTAATATTATATAAAGAAAAGAAAAATACCCAGAAGATTTTAAAGCTTTACTTTAGTAGAGTGTTTGAGTAAATGCACTTAGTTACTGGCTTAGTTACACTGCTGTTTACTTGTATAGCATCATGCTTGAGGTTATTTTCTGAAGTGCCCCTTTCAGTGACGCCATTTTCATCACATTTTAATCTCTAAAAGGGAACATTCTGTAATTTTTTTTTCTAATCAAATCAGGAAGTTGCATTCTCTTTCATCCATCATGAAATTTCCCCTTCTGGCTTCCCTGAAACCCACCTGGATTGACTTTCTTTCCCCTTTTCCTCTGGATGATGTGTTTCCTGCAGCTATTACTTTGTTGAATCGAGGTTTGATTCGAACAAAAACACAGCGCTTGGACCAGACGTTTGCTGAACTCCTGTCATTGGTCAAAGTCAGCGGCTGGAGAGGAAGACCCGTATCAAAGACTTTTCCCGTTCTCAAGAGCTTCGGAAACACTCCTGTGTTCCACCAGCTCTCTCTCATGAGTCAGAGTGTCCGCCGTGGGCCAAAAGCAATTACTACCGCGCCAAAAATGACAGTTTCGGCTTCATAAACACTGATTGCACAGATGGAAAATTAGGTTGATAATTCATACTTTTCTCCTTTTTTTCTCTCATCTGTCTTCTCTCTCTTACTCCTCCACTTGCTTAATTCATCTGCTTAGTTCATTCATAGTGTCACCTTAAGAAAGGTGAGGCGATATAATACGGCTAAAATCAACATATCCTGCATAGATTTTTAATCAAAAGGGACAGCATTTGGAACGTCGTTGTGCTAAATACAGTTGCGAGTGGTGGTTAAGAATTGAGTTACAAAGGAAATAATGTGGAAATTCTTTAAAACTTGAATGCACCCTCGTCTGGGACACATTTTATCTTTTTGAACCCGGTTGCTTTTATTTCATGGTTGGGCTTTTTTTCTTCTTTTTTACCACAATTCCACTGTATTTATTGATTGACGCTAACACTTAATTCTAAGGTCACGTACATCCCCGACTTGTTGACATGACGTCTTTGAAGACTGGATGAATTCGAATCCCAGGCTCGGTGTAATTAAGACCGACACCCGCATATTTTAAAAGACGTTTTCCACATCCCACAAGGTCCCTTTGACTTCTTGCTGTCACAGCTGCAATTTTTCAAACGCAGCTGTCATCCTGTCATTCTCATATTTATCATTCCAAAAGCACAGACAAGTCAGCAGCTAGTCAATGTAAATAGTGTCTATTCAGCAGGGCTGGAGACAAAGTGCTGCAATTCTTTTCAATAAAGTTGTATAAACCTTGAAACTCTTCCAGGCAGCTTTGAACATGATCCAGTTTGTTTTATCCCTGAACCTCTGGCTCTCGCACACTCTCCCTTTCCAGGTACCGATGATTGAATTCTCTCTAATTGTCTCTGAGCTGTGCGACGTACAGCTGCAAGCGCCGCGGCAGGAAAAAAGGTCGGATATAAGAAACCGCTTACTGTCATCCTCATCTCTGTCACGATTTGTACTCTAACTTTCACCTTTGATTATGGAATCCCTCTGCCTGCGCTCACCAGTTTGGGGCCACAGACAGCCACGATGACACAACTGATTCTGCTCAGCGAGTTCATTTACAACGTAGAAGCCTCTGATGACCCAAATTCGATGGCTTGTCCCTTTTGTCCTGCAGTGAGATGGAAAACTCTGCAGAGAAACATATTTACGATCAAACTGCCTCTCATTACACTGCAACCCCATAGAGGAGCCTTTTGTTTGTCCACTTTGGCCACACTAAGCACGTCAACCAGAAAGTATAACTGACTGTGGCGTCTGTGCATGTGTGTGCATATGGGTATATAATGTGTGCATCCTTGTGCTTGCTGTATAGTTTGTGTCTCACTGTCGAAGGCTCCTCGGACGCTTTTAAAGCAGCTGACGAGAGCGAAGAGCCTCTGATTTCTGTATGTTTTACTTCATTCTGGCAACAGGCGCATTCCTGCTGCCAGGCTTGGTGGACAGTCACAAAGCGTTTGATCATGGAATGAAATATTCCACCGGACAATATTTCCCCCTCTTCCACCCTTCCGAGCCACCCCTAACCCAACATGAACACCGACCGGGTCTCAAAGAACTGCATGACTGCACGTCTCAACAATGAGGCCACACAAAAAGCACCGACTCAGCAGAACTGGATGTCCATTTCTCAGGCGTTTAAGCATGCAATTATGTTCCCCTCCACTCCCCAATTCACAATCAGGATCAGGGGGGGGGGAGTACAACGTGGTGCCTGTAGTAGTTCAGTTCCTACGGGGGGGAGGACATGCGGAGACGAGGGTACACTGCTGTCTTAGATGGCAGGATTTGCTGTCTACGTGTGTGAGATATCAACGTGCCTGTGTGGTTGAGAGATTATATATTTGCATGTGACTCTACAATTTCCTGCATAGGGGTATTTACATGTAACATGCCTCAGAAGAAAATCTCCATAAAGCGGCATAATAGTTCAACAGATTCCATGCATGACACTGACATGTATATGGAGCCTTTTTTTTTTTTTTTCCAAACCACTGGTATGTGTAATGCCCTTATGTGTATATGTTTGCATATTTGTGTTGGTGTTTTATGGGATGTTATTCGGTGGGGAGAAGTCCTGCAGAGGGCTAGGCCATGCGTCCATGCATGTAGCGCACACACATTCACCATATGGGGTCCAGAGGGGCTTACAGGGCCAGGCCAAGTCATGCTTATGGACCATTTAGCACACATTGCTTTCTCCTTCATGGCTACACTGCTCTCCTCCTAATAGTCAGAGCTGGAAAACTTTACAGTGAATCACAGAGACGGGCCCCACAAGACACATAGGGTCTAACTCGAAGGATATACAAATCTGTATTTATTGGCATATTTGTACATTTTTCCATTTG